CCCACGCTCCGTGTTACCATTTTAGGACTCATCGCTGCTGCCGTTAGTTGCCAGTCGACTATTTAGTGTAATAAGTAAGATGACAATAACCTCGCCCTCTTTTTGTATATTCATGTTATATGTGGAATTGGAAGTGGTATGCACTGAAACTAACCGATTGTGTTTAATTCAGGATTTGAGAGTATAATACATGAGTGTACGTTGCGTGGCTGCCTTCGCTCCCTCTATAACTTCGAATTTTATCTCCCCGACTGAAATATTCCATCCAACATATTCCATCAGAACACATACTGACAAAACATCCACACTACAGTTGACCCTTGGTTCAATTTCAGAGCAACTAAATACCTTGTGAAGCATGGCTTTTACAGCTTTTGGGACTGGTTCGATGACCGTAAGGCCGCCTTCCTTAAAAAGCTTTATCCGAGAGTTATCAGTGCGTTTGGCAATATCACAGAAGAGCAAAATCTAAAATAATATATTCTTGCGGTTAGGGACATGGCACCCCCTTGGGCGTGTTACTGGTGGTACTTTGTACCCGGGCTTGATGGTAACGAGTGGTGTCATATACCATATTTTCCGATTCCTTTCCATTCCAGTAGATATCCGGAACATCTGCGTGCTGCTTGCTCCCGGCTTCTCTGGCTTGACTGCCATAGCTATGTATCTCCTTACCCGCGAAATGTCTCCTTCACCGTCGGCTGGTCTTCTTGCTGCTGCCTTCATGGGAATTGTGCCTGGTTACATATCTCGCTCCGTCGCTGGTAGTTACGACAATGAAGCTATTGCGATATTCCTTCTCGTCTTTACGTTTTATCTTTGGATTAAGGCAGTGAAAAATGGATCAATTATGTGGGGTGTTCTGACAGCCTTGTTCTACGGTTACATGGTATCTGCCTGGGGCGGATATGTCTTCATCACCAATTTGATTCCGCTTCACGTATTCGTTCTCATCTGTATGGGCCGATACAGTTCCCGCCTTTATATCAGCTACACTACATGGTATGCGCTAGGGACCCTGGCCAGCATGCAAATCCCCTTTGTGGGGTTCCTGCCTATTCGAAACAGTGATCACATGTCGGCGTTAGGTATGTTTTCCTAGTTTTATATTTCTTTTTTGCGGCAAATCCCCAGGATAGAAACTGATCCCTAGTAGGGATTTTCGGTCTCATACAGGTGGTGGCATTTGTCGAGTTCATTCGCTCCCAGGTACCAGGGAAACAATTCCAAACTCTACTCACGACCATCATATGGCTCATATTCGGCGTCTCTTTCTTCGGCCTTGTTCTTCTCACCGTTTCCGGTGTCATTGCTCCCTGGAGTGGCCGGTTCTATTCTCTATGGGATACTGGTTACGCTAAAGTCCATATACCGATTATTGCTTCCGTTTCAGAGCATCAGCCAACCGCTTGGCCTTCATTCTTTTTCGACCTTAACATGTTAATATGGCTCTTCCCAGCAGGTGTATATATGTGCTTCAGCAAACTAAAGGATGAACACGTGTTCATTGTTATCTATGCAGTTCTCGCGAGCTACTTCGCCGGGGTCATGGTTCGACTGATGCTTACTCTCACACCCGTTGTCTGTGTTGCCGCTGCAATAGCTTTGTCGAGTATCCTCGATACCTACCTTCTTAGCTCTCCAGTGGAGCAAGATGACAGCGAGAATTTACCGAAGGGAGGTCTTCGATCTACGCGGACACAGGTTGTAGGGATTTATTCCAAACTTTCAAAGGGGTTAATTTCTACCTCCATCGTTATCTACCTCCTCATGTTTGTGGTTCATTGTACCTGGGTGACATCAAACGCATACTCGTCCCCTTCTGTTGTTTTGGCAAGTAGAACGCCCGATGGGAATCAGCTCATCATTGACGACTTCCGTGAAGCCTACTACTGGTTACGCCAAAACACTCCAGAAAATGCTAAGATCATGTCGTGGTGGGATTATGGCTATCAAATTGGCGGCATGGCTAATCGCCCTACCCTCGTCGATAACAATACGTGGAATAACACCCATATTGCAACAGTCGGCAAAGCAATGAGCTCGCGTGAGGAAGTCAGCTACCCCATCCTCCGACAACATGATGTTGATTACGTGTTAATTGTCTTTGGCGGATTGGTGGGATACTCTGGAGATGATATCAACAAATTCCTATGGATGATTCGAATTGCCGAAGGGATTTGGCCAGACGAGGTCAAGGAACGAAATTTCTTCACCTCTAAAGGTGAATATCGTGTCGATGGAGAGGCTAGCCCAGCCATGCGAAACAGTCTGATGTATGTCTCTCTTGTCTTTCTGGCGTTCTCCCTTGCCTCTGTTTTTTTCCTTTCTTTCTTTCTTTCTTTTCCCCTCCACCTTTTGTCAATTTCATCCCACTAATAATTAATTTTATCTAGGTATAAAATGTCGTATTCCAACTTCAATGCGCTCTTCCCGGGTGGTGAAGCGGTTGATCGTGTGCGTGGTGCGCGTCTCCCGGCTCAAGACCCACAGTTGACTACGCTTGACGAAGCTTTCACCAGCGAAAACTGGATCATCAGAATCTTCAAGGTCAAGGATCTTGATAACGTCGGGCGAGACCATAATAATGCCTCCGCGTTCGATAGGGGCCGCAAGAAGAAGAAAGCACCGAAGAAGCGGGGACGGAGGGTATTGAGAACCGAATAAATATTTCTCATTCTTGGTCATCCCTCTTACTCTTTCCTGGCTTTTTCTTCTTTTTCCTTTTTCCCGCTTTAATTCAGATTCTCTTCAAATTTTGTCAATTTAGTTTACTTTTGTAAAATGTATGCTAGGTTTCCTTATGCAATCTTTTCTTCCACTTGTTGTTTATGGTTGCGAGTTTATAACCCGTAGAAAGGGGATAGGGGTTTCGTTTTCTCCTGTTCTTTCAGCCCAACTTTCTTCTTCTTTCCAAGAACTTCACAAGGGGTTTTGTTGGCCAACGAAACGGGTGCCGCCTGGCCGCAAATAGTGGTATAGATTTTGTTTTGCGTGTTCTCCACTTCCTAAGAGGAGCCATGACGGGACACTTTTTCAAGTTTCGCGAGTTTTGTTCAATCTTATTTTAAATATTATTTATTTCGAAGGGACGAGGTTTTGCGGGCATTACTAGTTTTCGCTGTTTCGTTGGAGCATCCTGCCTGCCATCCCCTCTGATTTTATTCTCTGATCAGCCAAGAGAACCCAAGAGAATCAATACGCCATAATGTGCCTTGCCAATCGACCGCCAACGATGCTGGTGCATGTGCATGGAGAGGAACTGATTGGGTCGAGAACTGATGTCAACGCCGATATCACCGCCCGAGCTAAGTTTTGAATACGAGGGTTCTAACTGAAAAAGAGTACGAGAGGATGCCTTGGTCAAGTGAGGGGCAGTATCATCGCAACGGGGATGGGAATAAATATCCAGGCACGTCTCGTTTTCGAGGAGGAAGTAACCGTTATATCGATGACAGCCAGGATCGCATTGCCAGCCTTCACGCCAATTAGAGAATCGATATTTGTTCTTAAAGAACGTTGATCGATTTCCATTCTATCCAGGTCCAACCCATCCTCTCAACAGACAACTGTATGATGGTTCTAGGCAAGCTTCTCGGCAAGAAGAATGAATCCGCGAAAGCACCTAAAGTTGGTAGGTTTCATTCATAATGAGACAGACCATTCAATTCTCTGTATAGCCCTGTCCCTGCTCCGCTCTCATGGATTTATATTATGAACAGCCTCAAGCCAATACATTCTTTCATTTTTGCGGTTCGACTTTTGAATCGCGCCACTTGGTAGCTGTTTTTAGCTAACATCCTACAGAAGAGCCTCACGTGCTTCCCCCGTGCCAAATGCAGGATATGAAGCCCATTTCGTCAGGCCCAATACCACGGCCGCATGAGCGGCCGCATCCGCCAACCCCCCAAACAGGCAATGGCAGGCGGTTTGTAAATCCACAGTCATGTACTATGCACGACAAGTACGACATATCCATATTCAACATAACTCTAGTGCATCCAATACAATCGACGTTCATCACCTTTGATGTTGTCCCTACTCCTCCTCCGACGGAACCAGCACGTGGAGAATTCATCAAGAACTGTTTCATTCAACAGCTCAATTGGTATCCTTGGACATGCGACGTGATGTCTGAAAACTTGACAAATACCACAGTCAAAGACGCTGGCGTTGAGATGAATATGCAATCCCGCTTTGCCGAAGCTGAAACCATAATCACTCCTTTGTATCGCAGCGCTCAGAAGAAGCTGGGTTACATGCACCCCACAACCATCTACCACATGAACAATCTTGGGGTAGCCTTAGGCGGCCAAGGGAAATTTCGGGAGGCCGAAGCAATTCTATATGACACTGTCGGGATGAAGTTTTCGGAGATAGATCCCGCACATCTTAGTACGCTCGGCAGCATGATGAACATCGCGCTTGCCTACAAGGGCCAGGGTAAGTGGCAGAGGGCCAACGAAGTTTTGAGCCAGATGATAAATATCAGAGCGTCGAGCGGCGGTACGGCGGACCCAGACTTTTTGGATTGGAATGATCATTTGGGCGTGGTGCTTGCGATTGAGCAGAAATACGATGAGGCAGAACAGGTGTTGATGCGCTGTTATGAAGCACGACAGAACCTGGGGCGTGACCCTTATATATTTTGCACGCAATATACCCTAGAATGGGTTCGGAAACAAAAAGCATCACAGCTTACAAATGAAAAGGAGTCAGGTTGATTCCCCATCACAACAGCCGATCAGTCTGCAAATCCCCAGGATATAAGAATAATCAATGCTCTTTTTATTACTTTTTTCTTTGTCTTTTAACACTTTCTCCCAATTGTTTTCCAGAGTCCCGCTTCGTCTGCCTCACGGAGTTCAGGAAATCACATTACAGCTCCATCTCATGCCTTTACCTACTTATTTCTGATTTAAACCTCATTTGCTAGCCATTACCTTCCTGTTTTTATTTTCCTTTAATAATGATGCTTTCAGCCTCTTTTCTCCTAGAGTTTACGTCCTACTGTATTTCAAGCCCCTAACGATAATTGTACCTTATCCTGGATGTATAAGCTCAAACTTATCACCGAAATACAAATGACACATGTCCACCTGCTGTTTATCATTTGTGCATTAAGAAAAGGGAACGAAGGGCTTTATTAAAAATAATGTAGCACAATCCAAGCCTAAGAAAAATCCGACTAATATAATTCCATACTTGACATGGACAAATCTCTGCCCTATTGTCACGATTCCGTGCACATTCCCCTTCCAGTTATCAAAAACTCTACTATGCACATCTGCATATGTTTCTCTTTGTATGTCTCGTCTAAGTTTTAATACACACAACTAACCGCTTCACGAAAAACAAGGTGTAGAAGAGAAGGAGGGGTGAGCAATACAACAGTGTAATAACCTAAACATTAGGGAACGAAAACAGCAGGTGATCTAGCCGAAATTACATCACATCATCTGATCACCACGGTGCCTCAACCAGGCACAGTAGTAGTTGTGGATGACGAATCAGCCGTATTATCCATCCCCTTCATTTCCTGCTGCGGCGTGCCGCTCAATGTTGAGCCAGGAATCGATTCAGACTCGCGCTTAATGTCCTGATTTTGGGCGTCGACAATGCCAGCAGCACCTGGTTCTGATTTTACACCATTCGACGCATTGTCACTGGACACAGCTCTGGGATTGAAGTTTGCGTCTTGGTCAGTCGACGGCGAGGCTGTTCGTGGAGTTTGTGTTGTTGATGTAGGGTTAGGTTTAGAGGTAGAGTTCTCTTGCTTTGGAATGGCATGTGGTCGCCATTTGAGGAGGATTTTTGAAACGAGTGGCCCCGCTTCGTCCACTATACAATTCGGCCATAGTGGTTAGATTTGTCATGGTACAGGGATGAAGGTGTGGAAATTTATGAGCATAAGGGGAAAAGGTACAGATACGGGTCTTCTTTACCTTTTGTATAGAGGTCTTGGAGAGCATCTAGGCAAATTTCCCTTGCTGGAGGCCGCACTAGGACAAGATAGCTGCATTTTAATTAGTATTGAACGGTTCATATATTGCAAAGACATTTGTTATGTGGGCCTGCTACTAAGACTTACTGAAGGGCTTGAACACATAGGGCAACACGTTCAGGATCATTTGCCAAACTCTTCGTCTTTTGCACGAGCTTCGGGCTGAGCTCCGGTATCTCACTTAGAAACCTAATCAACACTTTATCCTTGCTGTCCAAATAAGGCAATATGCCTTCCAGTAGCCTCATAACCCATTTCTCATAGTGTTTCGAGGACATGTTACCATGTTCACCATTATCCTCTGTGGCGGCATATTTCAGTTGTATTTGGTCATTGTACCACTCTTCGTTCATCCAGGAAATAGCGGCATTGATTCGAACACGAAAATCTTCAAGGACATATCGATATAACATCTCCCTGATGCCGTTTGCCATGGTGATGCGTTGGTTCAATAACAATTGGCGGCCGTCTTCAGCTTTAAAATTCTCATCCGTTTCATCCACCTCCAAGCCGGCCGAGGCTCGAGTTGCCAATCGAGTGAGCAAGACCAACCAAGAATCCCTATCAAAAGAGCTGGCTGCTAGCCTCCCGAAACCTGGTTTCTGGGAGCCTTTGGTTGACTTTGATGGTTGCTCTAAGGTGGAAATCATGTTAAAAACCCTTTCAATTGCACCCTTTCCAATTTCGGCGGCTTCTTCCTCTGTTAATGGTGGTGGCTGAGGTAGGACAAAAGGGCCGAGGGCAACGAGATCTGGTTGGAATTGTTCATTTCCGGCAATGGACGATGCCGTTGGCATATGAGTCCCAGTTGGGATGTCCATTGGCTGATATTCTGGTTCGTAGTCATCATCCTCTTCTATGCCGGCTGTTGATATTGGAGCGGCATGCTGTGAGGATTGTTGTTCGAAGACTTGTTTCTTAGATAATGTGAGGTAACGAGACCGAACAGCCTAGATATTGAGCAGGTGAGTCTAGTTTTCTTTCTCTTTTCAAGTGAAATACGACTCGAGGATACATACGCCAATAGCTTGATCTAATGCCTCAGGATCAACTCGACTAAGCACAGGAACGGTGATTTTGACAATCAGGTCTGCGGGAAGCTGTTTGACATCAAAGGATGCCAAACCCGCTTCATCGGTCAATGTGAAGAGCTGAGCAAAAGAATTGGGGCCAGGGGGCATGGGAGGGATCTTCAATTGAGGGGGAGTATCAACGCCAAGTCTTGCACGCTTTGCGCTATCTACGAGATCAGTCGGTTCGGTTGGCAGCGCCCGTTTTTTCGATGCTTCTTCGAATATATCATTCCGCGACTGCGCTAATCGTTCCAAATATGGCTGAATGCGGCTTGCCAAAGGATGATTTGGGTTCCTAAAAGCACCGATCAGAAACCAGTTACTGCCTTACACTGCCTGACTCCGTACCTCTTCATTAAATTGATGAGCAGTGCCCTCGTGGTCCGTTCCATGGACTTGATATTTACTCGAATTGTAGGAGTCATTGGCGCATTTGCTTGTTTAAGCGGGTTGAAATTAAGAATCGCATTTACAATCTTACTTGAAATGGACTGTCGGGTGCGTATCATGACCGGGAGGCAATTTAACGTTGCGTTGACCAAGATAGGATCACTATAACTGTTAATCGGTGGTTGTCTTGTCTTACTACCGGTACAAACGGATTCGGATACACACCTCGAATTTTCATTGAACACGTTGAGTAGCCTATCTAGCAAGCCAGAAGCTTCTGCTTCGAGATTAGGTAGTGGTATAAGTGGATGATTTCTCGGCACAATTGACAAGGAGGTTTCATTTTGCTCAGGACGCTGTAGCTGTGCTTAGTATTTCCAGATGATAAATTTTTTTAGGATGCTATACATACCCTTGGATCAGATATGACGCCAGTAGTTTGGACCTGCACCACCTTCTGGACAAATTTGATACAGCAAGCCTTGATGTTATTGGAAGCAGTGTCCCATCGCTTTAAAATATTCTGCTTGATGGCTGTCATTTTTTCCCACAATGCAGATTCGTTGGAGTTATCAATGCTAGTAGAAAACCGCATTAAATCAGAACCATGCTACCCATGCTGATGAAGAATTACTGCCTTTGAGAGGGAGGATCGCCCATCGACTCTTTCCCACAGCTATTCCGATCTCCGCAATTCTAGCAGATTAGGGATTTAAGGGATTGGGGTGCCGGGGTTCGACATACATAGTTCTAAACACCAATGGGTAAATACTAGCAGCAGTTTGAATAACGCCCTTTACGACACTGGCATCCTCTTCTGGATTTTCCAATAATTCCCACAATGTCTGCACCACCTGTGTACTCAGCTTCTGCTTCGGTTGTTGGGCCAGCGCGGGGCTGGCAAAAGTTTCTGCTAGGAAATCGGCGCCCCATCGTCGTAGTTCTATCCGTGCCTTGGCGCCTATTATTGGGAGTATGCCCTGAACGATCTGTGGATACAAAGCAGCATCACCAAGCACAACATTCCTAGCAGTATCCAGCTGGGACATCTGCTCCGCGAGATTGTCGAAAGGCAGAGCCATGGTGACTCTAATCCGACCGGGTCGCAAGACCACGACGGTTAAATCCAATAGCGTTTCGTAATACTACTTCAGAGTGGAGATGTCTAATTTCATTACTTTAGCTGGAGGACAAATCGCGAATGTCGGTACGCAGCGTTCGTGGGCGGCAGGGGAAGTGGACGTGAATCGTTATACGACCAGGAGAAATTTGATGGCAACGGAATACAGGGAAAGAAGGAAGGTTATTTACCACCTGTAATGGGCAAAGGCTGGAATGGAAAAAAGAATGCTACATGGAAAAATAAAGTAAAAGCAAGCTAGGGAGTTTTATTAATCGTTGAGCTGATGGTGGTGGGCGAGCAATGCGTGTTGATTGAGCTGGTTGTTTTGGATAGGAGCAAGTTTGCGGAAGTCTGGAGCGTAGACGTAGCTTGAAGGTGATAGCGCTAACCTGATCCGGATTGATAACCGCCGGCAGCAAGCGTTTGCACTCCGCTGGTTGATGGCATGCGATCAGGCGAGTGAAGATACATAAGCAAATAAGTGAGCTACACTTCACGAAATACTTGCTATCCCTAGCAATTTTCTCTTCATACCAAACCAGCCCAGCTCCTGTTTGCGTGAATGAGCGCAGACAAAGGTATTATCACGTGATGCCAAGGTTTCCTCCTCCTCTACTTTGAGGGCGGAGAGTCCCTTGCAGGCAGGCTGTCTACTCGATGTCATGAGAATTCAAATGGATGAAAGGCAACCATAGATATCGGCATTTTACCATTCCGCCTTCCTTGGGTAAGCGAATTCAATAAGAACCCGAATACACAATTCTCTCTATCATGACGATGTAAGTTTACCCGATCCCCAAGTTTATGCCAAAAACTTCCATTGAACCAAGCCAGAATCAACTGACACTTGCTTCCTTAAACAGCTTCAAATCCTCATACTACGATAAAGACTACAGAGCGGGCGCTGCCCTAATTCGTGCCCGTCGACCGTATCTGATCAAAAATGCCGCTACTGGGCTCGCATTGTTCGGCTTCTGTATAGGCGTTTGTGAGTTGTTTCCCCTCATTTGGGTCTCCCCGCGGACGGTCTTGGGCTTGATCTAATCGCGATTTTCGTATAGACGCTTTCACCATAAATGCTGTTGGGCAAGATGATTTCTCGGACGTGAAGCTTCCTGATAAGAAACGGGGCGACACAGGCCGCGTCACAGGGCTACGAAAGAACTATAAAAAACACCTGCGAATAATACTATAATGGCCATCCCGTCGTCGAGCTATGCCACAGTGGAGCCACCTATCACATCTACCGAGAGTTTACGGTGCTCCTACTCACCATGATATTCATTTTAAATCGCATGGCGTTAAGTAGGTTCTCTGATTGGTTGGGAAAATTAAATATGGAATTTAATGAAGTTCTCACTCTTGGGTCAATGGACTGAGAAGGGGTCAGAGTGCAGAATGAAAGTTGGAATGGGTACTATGGGCGCTCGTTTGGACAAATATGGGAGATAATCTTCTTCCACAGCTCCAGCGAAACCGGGTTATTTTATCACGGTCCACTAATTACCTTTTCAATCGAAGTTTTGCAGGCATCTACGCACAGTCTCCGCTCTAATCTCCTCTTCCTAAGTTCTGCAATCATGTTCTACCATTTATGTACAAATACGCTATCTTCACCTGATTTCGAAGTTTTAATATTTTCATGGATATAAATGTACCATTTTGTTACCCTACACATCCGTGGAAGCAAATATACATACTCTACTTGTGTATTTGTTCTTCGGGGGTGGTCTCTGGACAGTTTATTAACTCACGTTCCCCAGTTGTTTGTGTTCTCACCTTCACTTCTCAAGTTTCAATCTCGTTGCCCGGAGAAAAGTTATTGCCTCTATATTCCATACCCAGAGGCCAGAGCTGTTATGTCTTCCTATCCGGCTTGTTTGGTATGGCAATGTAACAGGACACGAACTGTGGACTGCGGCTTTCAAAAGGGAGAACGTCAGTCTTTCCCGGGTTGACGCAGGCATTCCAGTTCGCCATTGCAAAATCTTTATGGGTTGTTAACCATGGCCTTGATTTCAGGAAGAGAAGCACGGATATCCCTCCAAGGTATCTATTCAGTACTACCTATGAAGTTTACTCCGGCTCCTTGCATACATACTATTAAGGATTGCATGCTGCGTAAGTTTGTCTATGTGTGTACAATTCACAATATGGATGGTGACTATCCCAGCTATTTAGCGATAACCTTGCGTAAAGGGAACGGGTTGTGAGCTAACCGCTCAAACTTTACGAGGTATTGTGAGGGGTATGAGACATGGTTTTCTGCTCTAGGCGATATCAAAATATCCCATCAAACAAGCCAACGGTGAAATAAGTATAAATGTCAGGCTAGCTGCTCCCTCAAAAGATTGTTTTGAGTCCATATGTGTTGAAAGACGCTCACAGGTAAGATCAAGGCCCTTTGAACCAGCCATAGAGCAATATAATAATGACACAACTACCAGCCTAGTTTTCTACGCGGGTCTTCATTCCTTCAACCAACCCTGAGCCATTCCAGCTGGCAACTCAAAAACCGTCCATTCATCATGAAATTTTCGTTCCATGCGCTTCTCATTACCGTGTTTATCAGCATCCACACCTCTGTAGAACTTGTCCTCTCATCCCCTCTCAATCTTGTAGGTATGTGAGAAATGAATGCTCCGTATGCCATTCACTCGAACCCCTAGTTGAACAGATATGACAGATCATCAGCTCTCCAGGCGTGACTGCAACTACAGAGTGTTCTGTCCGACTTCGCTAGCAGAGTCGTGGTGTGTCTCCTGGGATACAGGATACGCCATGTGCGTGCAGAAAAATGGGAAGTATCCAACGGTGGAATTGAACCGCTGCAAATCTTGTGTGGAAAGTAATTGTGCGACGACGAGATGCGAGGAGGTTATGGATTGAGAAAGTAGGAGGAGTTATCCTGTTAGCCTGAGATGGGACCAGATAAAATGGCGGTACTTGTTAACCACAATATAGTTAACTAGGTAGGCTGATGAGATAAGTTGTTTGGGGCAAATAACTAGTTAACTAGCGTAATTCCCCAAGCGAGCGAGCAGCCCCAAGCGAGCGAGCAGCAAAACTAGCATATCTCAACTAACCAGAATTTAAATCAAAATTATCTACTCCCACCAACCACTAATTAAATTAAATTAAATTACATGAAGTTGAGGACATCTTATTCTTGTATGCCCAACAGTATTGCAATTGCTGCAGCGTTGTGGCGCTCGTATGCGGGGTCTAGGCTCCGGGGCCGCAGGTACGGAATGTTGAATAACAGGCTGTTCAACAGGCTCAGCTGCAGGAATAATAAGATTCTGAGCTTCATTCCTAGTTAGACCCCCTGCACTTGGGATCCTGCGTGTAGACCTCTTGCGTTTTTGCTTCTCTTTCTCATTTGCATTGAAAATATCCTCATACTGCTTCTTCATAACCATGGCGCTGACCATCCCGTATTCGCAGGCCTTGATTATTTGGTCAAAGCCTTCCACTAACCCATGAGGTTGATCCTGATCCATAAGATTTCTGACCTTATTCACCTGCTTCTGCAATTGCCGGGGGTTACTAGGTGTTTGTAGGATCCAGGATGACGTTGAATTGCTTGACCTGCTGGCTGGGGGAGTAGGGGTTCGGAGTTGAATATTCAGCTGCTGAACAACGCATTGAGGATCCAATGGAACTATTCCAGTGGCCCTGAACCCACTTTGAATGTTTGAAGCCTTGAAGGCTTCCCGACGTGCTGCAGGATAGGCATCTAGGAAATCTGTCTTCTTAATGGTGTTGAATCCTAGCCGCATTCGCTGTTCAACTAGGGTTCCGTACGCGCGCTTTAAAGGTGCAAAAACACCCACATCTAGTGGCTGCAAAAGGTGTGAAGAATGTGGTGGCATGCAGAGAGGAATAATCTTATTCTCACTGCAGATTTGGTCAAATTCCGGAGTAAGATGACTGCCGTGCCCGTCCAGAATAAGAAGAATATGGGTTCCAACCCTGCGTGGATTTGCAGCTGGAATAAACAGCCGTGTAAGCCATTTGATTCCTATCTCATCTGTGGTCCAGCCATTAGGACTAACGTCCAATCTCCAGCCTTCCGGCAGCCCGTCAAACCAGCCTTCCTGAATATTGTGACCTTTGAGGATAATATACGGCGGAGGGGCCCATCCTGACGCGTTGACTGACTCAATTGCAGTCACCCACTCACGATTCACAGGCTGTATAAGAGTTGCTCGTCCGTAGTGCTCAGCACTAGTAATGACCTTGGTAGTTGCACAGAGCCCCATTGCAAACCCAGCTTCATCAAAGTTGTAAATATCTTCAAACACAATCCCATGCTCAGTCATTACCCTCTCTAGGGTCTTAAACCAATCCTCCACAATCCTGCGGTCTTCACACTTGGCCCGATCATGGTTATAGCGTCTTGAGAAGCGGCATTGGAGCTCTGGACGGCGTGCCACTAGATTTGACACCCAGTTCTTGCCAACGCGAGGAGGGTGGTTTGTATGGCTAGGCTTCCGTATGGCAAGAAGATGATTAGCCATATTCTCCACAAATGCAGGCCGGGGTGGTAGTCCTCGTAAAGCTAGGTCTAGGATCCATTGAACAAGCTTATCCTCTTCAGCAGGAGTTAATTTATGTGAATTTGCGCGTAAATTCACCCGTGAAGATCGACCACTGAGTCTATGACCAAGTGTAGAGCGTGGCACATTAAAGATGCGTGCAGCTTCAGAAATAGAGGATATTTCCTGCTTTTTAATAGCATTTATCGCGAGTTCAAGTCTTCCCTCTATCTCTATAGAGTTCCTAGCATCTTTAGAGCGAATTGGTGGCATAATTGCGCGTTGAAGTGGATGAGTAGGTAAATTAGTAGGTGGAAGAATTTGGCTGCTCGCTCGCTTGGGCTGCTCGCTCGCTTGGGAATTACGTTAGTTAGTTATACATCAGCCCATTATTAATAACACCGTGCCAAAGTATTAGTTAGCTAGTATTTATATGAGGCACAGCCATTCAATTTCACAAATTTACCCTTCCAAGCCAACCCTAGGGTTTAACAGGTGCTATACATTAACTGCACATTAAAACAATGCACATACGGCCATATTGAGAAAACTTCCACCCTCATAGCTATACTTGAGCCATAGTATCGCACGGCCAATTTTCAAATACTGTGCGGATTTGCTGTCGCTTGAAGCCTGGACATCGTGCTGGATTAATATGCTCCAAGACGAGGGTGTATGAAGTAGAGTAGCAGCGCGAAGTAAGGGTATTACATTCGTCACAATTCAGCGAAGAGATAAAAACTCAGTTTCTGTTCAAGATTCTGCTCGCGGGAGAAGGATTATCAGCGCCTCATACTTTAAGAATGAGACAGAAGACGCTTGATTGTGAGTGATATCTTCGTCACTAATAACTGAAGGTTCAAACCCGATAATTCCTCTGAGACTAAAGTGAAGGGCTTGGTTTGGAATTAAAATCCTTGGGTTGAAAACATGCCTCTAAGACAAGAGAAAATGGGATAACCATTTTTTTAACTCATATTATGGGTTCATAAGGTTGAAACAGCTCATGAGCGGGTAGTTCAAACCAGCTGGCGTGCGATATCAAGGATCTTCCTCGCTACGAGAACACTCAGCTCAGAGTCGGTATGTAACTTAGCTCCATAATCACTTTCTTAATCTCACTAATTGCTGAATTCTCCCAGGTTTTATTCACAATCACTCAGGGCCGACCAGATATCGGCCTCAGCCCCTAACCCCATTTCAATTCTGGAGCCGCACATTGAACAATCAAATTTTCCCCAGGTTGTCCTTCTCAAAGTCTCAAAAGATCATTGTACATCCATTTTCCAGTTTGGCCTGTCCCAAATTAGCCACGGAATAAGTCTGTGGGCCATCACAAAAGAATTTCATCATTCAAGTGCCAGTTCTAGAAGCGAGTTTAGAACAACTGGCGAGTATTGCTCGGATGTGAACTCTCAACACTGAAAATCACCACTTTTTTCCATTGGAGGAGACATTTTGCTTTCACCAAGTCATGAAACTGAGAGAGAGACAGGTCACCATGTCAAGCAGAATGATCGCAGGATAGGAGCCATGGTACTCAATCAACGATGAATGAATCTAGTCTACGCCATTGACTGCCTTGGCCATTGGCTCTTTCTGTCACCGATGCAGTTCATCAACAAGAGGCGGAGAAAGTATTCCAGAACGGCACCCGGAAGGTTGCTGTCACACTGAAAGTCGTCCCGATGAGGGGTAAGAGTGACTCGGTCCAGAGAGAGCCATAAAACTGTGACACATAGCCTTCATCACATGTGCCAGTTTGAATGAGCCTGCAGGAAGCCTGGATTTTCCAGCGAGTAGATTCGGCTCGTCAAACCGTATCATCACCAATTTCGGTGCCTAAATCGTTGTGAAACTGGGCAAGAAAAAGAAAGTGTTGGGTTTGGGATGGAGGAATGGGCCAAGACACACATGTACAACTCTCGGAACACAGCTTGTCGTCATAGTTCAGATGGAATATAGATTCTCGATAACCCAATATTTATGGGATTGATCTCAGTCTTCAGATTGTATCAGTCTTTCGTCGTTCCCATAAACGGTATCCCCAGATCCGTGATGTAGATGATGAGAGTAACTGGGCATGAGAGCGGCCGGAAACCGGAGACAGATAAATATAGCCAAGCAGCTGAATGGAGTTGGCGCGGAACCGTAGTGTAAAATGTAACATCAACAAAGGATAGAAACGAGATTCAAAAACAAAACGCTGTGCTCTCAGCAGGCCATACCAATCTAACAGTTGACGAGCCAGTAGTTAACCCTATGTCGATGATGTAATTAACCTGGCTATTTTGTATACCATGACAGCAAGATGGGATGTACAGCACACGTACGAAAGGAATACACATGCGCAGTACATATATGCCAACAGGCGACAGAAGTTACAAATGGAAGCCACAATTGGTACACCCCACTTCAAGTGTCACAATGGAAAGACCTACCCCAGAGGAACCCTGCTTCTGCTTGAACCCTCATGAATTCATGAAGACCTTCGACGACTAAAAATTAAAGGATTCCTGGAATGGCAGTGTGAGATCTGCGACTATCGGATCAAGTATGAAAACTTGGTCCCATCATACTGGGGACGACTGAAGATCTTGTATTGTGAAGTATGAAAGCATCGTGACTGATGCTTCTACACAAGATGGCTACTGTAATGTAAATGATATCTTTCCTCTGAGGCCAATTCGCAGGCTCTCAACATTTACAATACACCAATATCTTGTCCGATGAATGGGAGGAGATGAACGGGTTTAGGTGACATTCCCCTGAGAAATTCGGTAGTGATAAGGACGACATCTATTGACTCCTCTGTGAGGAAAGGGAGTGGTGCACCAGGACATACGCCGACGAGAGACAGCGGTTACCGGCGTCGGCTGATGTGCTCCTGTCCTACATCTTTAGCTCTAGGCTCATCGCCTTGTTTGACAGGTTCGTAATCATGACCATCATCTTCAAAATTCATTCCGACAAGGCGAAAGCTATTGGAACCATGAAGTTCCCCTGGTTGCTAGGGGCTAATGCGAAGATAGGATGCCCAGTGACTAGCCATTGATGAGTTGGAAATTGAAGATTAGTCAAATTATCCTCATAGACAACATAGACGGTGGGCTTATGTGGGTTGAAGATGCGAACTTGGCTCTGAAGCCACGATTGCAGCCGACTCCCGGGCAAGAAAGAGGAGACCAGGGTCTGATCACTTTAATGGTGTTTTGCGAGCCACAAGGAGAGCCAGCACAGAGATTCGACATTTAGAGACGGTGCCGTCACCACCGATTGCAGCACCGATGGCCCGGAGAGTATCAATCTGGCAACAAATGGTTTTACCAGCGCTGATTACTTTGGTTCGAACGACCTAGCTCGAGAGGACCAGTCCATATTCATCAACGACAAATACCACGGGAACGACGTGGAGAAGGTCTATTCCTATGGCTCCATATCAGCCTCTAGACGGTCCGTAGTGAGGGTTTGGAGATGCTGAATACGGTACTGACTAAGTGGTCTTGATGTACACCGACGAAACAGGCAATAGACCACGAATGTAAAATGTCCCTGCCGCCCACAAAACTCCTCGTCATTTGCTAACACAATCATGAGATTCCTTCTCATCACCCATAACCCTGAACCTGTATATGACCTCCGTCTGCGATTTGTCGCGGTGGAGTTCCACGACGACGACGACTTCGCCGATGACGAATGATATTCTCCATCCTCACTCAATAAGCGATATCAACCCCCATATAGATATTTAGTGAACTAAGGACCCAGTGGTAATTCCGGAATGTGGTAGGAGGAATATAGGGATTACTCGATTTTTCCATGATTGCTCCCGTCCCGCTGTTCTGAAGCCACCAGGTATATTGCATTGCTCCGGTGAAGATCTGACCTTCCGGACTGCTTCTAGAGCCAGGTTGTCCTGTGAAGCTGAAGATATTGTGTCGTGGGCTGAAATTGGTATGTCTTTGTCTTCAACGGAGGAAATGGGATCATAGCCTGAGGGCTGGTTCACATTACCAGGGGAAGGGTCAGGGGTATCTGCAATTGATGTAGGAAATACATAAGATTGCGGATAAATGTCCGAAACACCATGTATGACGGATCCATTTTCTAAGAATACCGCCAACATATCCATTCAGGCGTTGGAGGATCAGGAAGGTGCTGCGACGCTAGGATGCTTTCCCTGACAACTCAAATACCAAGCAGCGAGGGGTTAGTCGGGCATCCTGCATGCGATGTGTTGAGCGACGTTGCGAGATTGAAAGATGCGATGAGCTTGGAGAGATTAAACCCCAATTGAAAGGAAGAAAGCTAAATATTTAGCTTGGATTTTCTTGTTCATGAGAATTGAGCAGTTGCTTCTCCTCCCATTGTCCAACTCTATCTCTCATGGTTTGATTATGATCATAAGGTCTTCCTTCTGTCGCATCAGAACCGTGCGAAACTAATTAAAGTGTCAGGGAAATAAGTCCAGTAGGATGACGCTCACGGACGTTCAGTCACACATATGCCTGAGTCCGGAGGACTAATGAAGCTGACATAAATAACAGTTCTGGTCATGCACAATATGGAATGGTTGAAGCAAAGCACCCCGATGAATGGGGACTCAGCCAGGGTGCGTTCGACGATGCAGTTCACCGTCAGCATTAAGAAACCAATCACGCGCATTTTGATAACACAAACAAGGAAAATGTTCTTAAACCAGCAAAACTGGTTCGTCAATATGGTTCAGGTGGATGACAAATTGAGTTGCAACCATGAATGACTCTCAAAACGGGCAGAAGTTTAAATATCAAAGGAAGCCTTTATCTCTTCCCAGATCACCCAATATTCAACAGTCTCATGCATGTCCCACTCACTATTTGCCAACGGAAATAGGGAGGGTCTCCATCCATCGATGAAGCCTGGGTTTCAACCTGGTTTGGGGAATATTGAACGCGACGGCTAGAAGCCAGAGCTCGTCAAAATAGGGTCATGGGGGTTGAAAGCTTTCCGGTGTGACATACAAACGCTTCTTCCTGGCGTACGGGAGTATTCATAGATGCATCTATGATGTTGTCAGAAGGGATTCTCAATAACCGCCATTCTAGAATAAACAGACGCTCCTTCTCTATCGACAGTTTGCCCTGCATTTGCCAGTGTAGGAATATTTTTCCATCACTCACGCATTCTTTCTTTCCGAGTTGAACTATTCCGCTGGGGGCCGGGTGGGTCGCTATATTGCAAGGGAACGAATGCATGCACCAAAAAATCCTATGTTCTCAGGGAAGGTATGAGATGTTGATGAAGTACCTGTTCCTGTACAGTACTCTGTAGATACGTCCGTTTCATGGAACAAAAAATGCTTTGGAGGGTTCAACGGTCCAGGCTTATCTGAAAATCCTTAAGAAAACTGAATACGCTTCGTGCATGGAGACAGACCGGATTGAATCCGTCATGAAGTGGTAAATCTGTGCATTTCCTCCCTTTGTATCCCACCATGAAACACCTTTGTTAGGCTTGCCGTGGCTCGTCTTACAAGTCGCGACAGAGCCAATTGAGTCGAGTCTAGCAACAGCCTGGGACAGTCAGCCGAATTGACGCAAACAACTAACTCAACGACGGCTTGGGAGGCTGCTCGCCCTTTGCTTCACTCACGCACAAGCCGGGAAGCCAATCGAGTAGATTTCACCAAGCGCCCGGTTATAAGAAAGACGCCTTTCCCTTTCACACTTCACCCCGCATCGGACCTTGACTCAGCAAGCGGCCTTTTTGGACGCAGGACAAGTTGAGCCCAGTTGCACTTCACCGCACTTTTCGCCTGGGAGAAAACCAATTGAAAACAAAGCCTCTCTCTATTTAGTTAATAATAAGCCAACACTGTGTAGGTAGCTCAAACCAAAGAACCGAAAAACCAACCAATTATTTAACCAGCCATGGGGGAAAAAATAAAACTTCCCCAGGAACACACCAGAAAATAACTTGCGATGAAGATCCCAGCTAATCAAGTTGAACGTGTTCCCACCAATGCACGGAACATCGATAGGATCATCATTCGCCCGCCATCTTTCCACTGGGGGTAGCTCCTCAATCTGAATAGTCGCATAGCGCCTGAAATCTGAGCCCTTTTCACGCGCCGATCTGCGATGTGTCGATCAGCCTCGTCATATGTCTATCACGCTTCGATCGCAACTGCCCCGCCATCATGGAACTCGCTCTCTTTCCTTGTCTTGCTGCTCTGGGCGCCCTCCAGTATTATCTTCCTCCTCTGAAAACAGGTACGTTTTGCCCTAGTTCTACTAGGGAATCTGAATGCATGA